AATTGCAAGCTGCTTGGTAGATGAAATATTTGAGGATGAAGAGCCAAATGGATTTTGGGAAAATGAAAGTATGGAAGAGAGCCCCCAAGAAAGGTCTGAGGACTGACACAGATCGAGTCCAAATGGTGAAGTAAAAAGAATACTGATTTTGGATTCGTGCAAACCTGACTCTCTTGCCCCATTCCCTACTCTCTTTTTAAACTTTGAATCAGTTAGTTGACTTTTCTAAGCCTGTTTCTTAAGATTTATGAAATGGGGGTGAAACCATATACCTAGAAATCTTATGGAGATTAAATAAGATAATGAGCAAAAGCATCTAGCAGTGTCTGGCCCACAGTAAACACCCCGTGAGTGATAAAATCTGATCATCTCTCTTTCTCTCCTGTCCTGTGGCTGCCTGTTCTGGGGTCATCAGTTGTCTTTGGCCTCTGGTTTCCAGCACCAGCAACTGGTGGTGAGTTCACCGTTCTGCTGTTTTCTCCCCTCCCTCTTCCCCAAACCACAGCCCATTCACTGAGAATGCCTGGAAGCCAGTGAATTGAGTCAAAAAGTATCACTCTGAGAAACCCATATGGATCTCTTGGAAAAAGAGTTATGGGGTCTCACTAGTCTCACTCTAAAAGGGATGATTCCCCCCCGAGAGGGAGGGGCCCTGATGGAGGGCAATTTCCTGCCCTCTTTCTCCAAGTCACAGCATCATTTTCGGATTTTTCTTCAACAACGCCCTCCTCAGCTGCCAGTTTTGAGACGCTGCAGTGTGAAGGACCTGTCAACACCCCGGACAGCAGCTGCCACCCCCATGAGCACTTGATGGATGCAAGGGAAGTTGACTTCCAGGTCAAGGGCTACACTTTCAGTAAACCCTTCCATCTGATTGTGTCCTACGGTGAGGTCCTGGGAAGGACTGACCGGTGCAGGCCTGTTCTTGCTCCCATTTCCCAAACCTCTCCTCTCAATGCCACAGTTCACTCAGAAAGGTGCCCCAGGAAACTAGCCATGGAATGAACTACTGTAGTCCTCCTTTATTGGCAGGATATGTTCCAAAACCCCCAATGGATGCCTGAAACTTCAGATAGTACTGAACCCTTGATGTCTATGTTTTTCCTATGCATATACTCCTATGGTAAAGTTCAATTTATAAGTTAGACACAGTATGAGATTAATAGCACTAATAAGTAATAAAATAGAAGAATTTTAACAATATACTATAAAAAATGTTACATGAATCTAGACTGTCTCTCTCTCAAAATATCTTATGGAACTGTACTCACCCTTGTTGCTCTTGTGATGATGTGAGATGATAAAATGCCTACGTGATGAGATGAAGTGAGGTGAGTGATGTAGGACTGACGTATCATTAGGCTACTGTTGACCCTCTGACCACAGGTCACAAGGAGGATCATCTGTTACCAGACTACAGTTGACCATGGGTAACAGGAAGCAAGACCACAGATAAGGGGGACTTCTGTACCCTCTTCCCCATCTTCAGCCCACAGAAGCCAGGGTACCCTCAGTCCTGTGCCCCAGAATAGTTGTTTCACACTCCCAGCCAGGCTAGAGTTACCTAGACCCTCAGAAAAAGTTTGGGGGGGTTCTATGGTGGGTAACCCTGGGGAGGGTTCCCCAAGAAGTCAATAGGTCACACTCAGCTCTTGCTTTGGGCCACAGACTGGCTGATCCTCCAGGGTCCAGCGGGGGCCATATTTGAAGGAGACCCACTGGTTCTGCGCTGCCAGGCCTGGCAAGACTGGCCACTGACCCAGGTCGTCTTCTACCGGGATGGCTCAGCTCTGGGTCCCCCTGCCTCTACCAGGGAGTTCTCCATTGCCTCTGTGCAAGAAGCAGACAGCGGACACTACCACTGCAGCGCTGTCTTCAGGAGCCCTGGTCCTGGGAGCCCAGAAACAGCATCTTCTGTGGCCATCAGAGTCCAAGGTGAGAGCTAGAGGTAGTGTCACTGCGGCAGAGGCAGGTGGGGAGAGACAGAAGGACCAAAATGCCTTCTGTTGGAGGTGGGATGGTCGCCGAAGGCCTGGGAGCAGGTGCTGGCAGGTGCCCGAGGGCGGCTTCAGGTGGGGCCGCGTCTCAGCATTGCCTTTTTGAGGCATTCAGCTCAGTCCAAGTCCAGCACGTTTCCCACGGCTCTGTCCTGCAGAGCTGTGCTTCCCCGTGGTCGCTGATTGAGTGACGGGACTCCTGCTGCATTTGCCCACCTCTGGATCTTTCCTAGTGCTGTCCGCTGGAAGAGAGTGAGAACCAGAAAGGCTCAGAAAGAACTTTTCTAACAGCTCAACCCTGAGGGAAAGACGGGGAGGAAAGTGTGACCTGGTTCGTAACCTGTCATGGGTCCCCCCGAATGTAAGATGCCTAAGCTCTTCTTTTTCACCTCTCTCTCCCCCAGAACTTTTTCCAGCTCCAGTTCTCAGAGCCACCCCCTCTGCTGGGCCCCAAGCGGGCAGCCCGGTGACTCTGAGCTGTCAGACGAAGCTGCCCCTGCACAGGTCGGCCGCCCGCCTCCTCTTCTCCTTCTACAAGGACGGCAGGACGGTGCGCAGCAAGGGCCTCTCCTCCGAGTTCCAGATCCCCACGGCCTCAGAGGCGCACTCTGGGTCCTACTGGTGTGAAGCAGCCACTGAGGACAACCAAGTTTGGAAACAGAGCCCCAAGCTGGAGATCCGAGTGCAGGGTGCGTTAACGCGCATGTGTCTGGTGTGTGTGAGAAGCCGGGGGGTTGGATGATTGGACCGATGATCTGAGGTTCAGTGTGAGAGGGTCAAGAAAGGTCAGAGCAGAGGCAGGAACAATGAGCCCAAGTCGCTGGTGATGGAAAAGAGCACAGGATAGAACTTCTCTCTCAGGCCGTGGTGCATCCCTCACCAAGACCTGAGCCAGACCGACACCGGCTGCCCCATAGACCTTATGCTCCCTACATGAACCCTGGGCATTTGTGGAAATACAGTGTAGAATGAGGGTGAGGTGGTCTGGAGGTTATGCTCAATCCTGGGAGCCCCTGTTAGGAAGGCTGCACTTGCCCTGCAATGTACCCAGAGGACGAATCCATGGTCATGAGCTGGCTTGAAGCCATGTTATTAGAGAGATAGTGAGAGGAATGGAAGATATTCTTCCTGAAGAGGAGGTGACTCAAGGTCAGCAGAGGTGTCCTTAAAATGCTTAAGGCGGCACAAGAATGATGAACAACACCAATGTCATATATGATAAAGGTGACCTAGGATTAGGTACAACATCCCTGCTTCCCGCAATTCGATTCTGCCTTGACAGAGGAGGAACTGGCTAATATCCACAGCCCTCTGATACTGAGGCCTCATCGCTGAAGATTTTCAAGAGACATAGCCAAGCTTCAGATGCAGATTTGGGCTCGGAGGGACACTGGAGTCCCCAGGTCTCTGCTGCCTTTGGGCCCAGGACCACTTTCAGAGGGCAAGAAGGACTGATCAGGAATGTGAGAACAGGGCCTGAGCCAGAGCTCACTCTCGCATGTGCCTCCTACCCCCTAATCCAGGTCCTTCCAGCTCCACTGCAGCCACCGCCTCAAATCCAGCTCCTCAGAAACCAGCTGCTCCAGAAACCACTACCCCAGAGTCCCCTGGGACGCCGCCTCCACCACCCACCCCTTCTTCTGGGGATAAAGGCTTCTCCTCTCCCCTGAGAGTGCCAGACCCCCATCTGTATCACCAAATGGAGACTCTTCTCAAGCAGATGCAGGATGTCAGAGTTCTCCTTGGGCGCCTGGTGATGGAGGTGAGGGACTTGTCTGCCCACCTGAAGCTTGAGACCACAAAGGGTCCTGCTAAATACAAGTAAACAATTCACCTGCTGTACTGCTGCACTGCCCCCAGCAAATCCAAGCCCCGTTTTTCCTCTTTCCATTGTATACATATGCACGCATAGTTTTACAAGTTGCCCAGCGTTTTGTTAGAGTAATGGAGATAGGTGAGTATAAATAAATTTGTTCAAAGTGATCATTGGACGTGTATTGTGTATTCACTCTTAGTATGTCAACATGACCCTGCTCTCCAGACCAGGAATTGCCTTCCGTTGCCCAGACCAGAACCTGGTGATTGAAAGAGATGCAGCAAGATGGATTAATGCAGCGGTTTCAACAGGGGCAAACACTACCCTCCTCCCCACAGCCAAGGGGACAGGTGGCAATGTCCAGAGAAGTTTTTGGTTGTCAAACGGGCAGGGGGTGCTTGGCATCTACAGAGTAGAAGCCAGGGATGCTGCTAAGCAACCTTTAATACACAGCACAACCCGTTGCAACAAAGGATGATCCAAAATGTCGACAGACTGAGAAGCCCACCCTACCAGCCCCTGGGGTGGCTCTTTGACTCTTCTACTTAAACCTTCCCCTCTCGGACTCAGTCAGCAAATATTACTTACATGTAGGCATTTTGACGGCCTCTGCCACATGCCCACGTTTATGCTGTGTTAAGTATACTCGTAAGACAGTGTCTGTCTCTCGAGGGTTTAGACTTTGGGATGGAGGGGCAGTAATACCCCTACCCAATCTAAAACGATTAAAGCAGACTACATAAAAATTCCCCACAAGAAGCTACTGGACTCAGAATATGTGATCAAGCATAACAGTGCCAGGGCAGCAATGATTTGTCTTAATTCATTTGTCTCTGAAGTATTTTTCTTCATAAACATACCTAAATCTATTTTAGTGCCATAATAATACGTTTTTCTATACTTGGATGGCTGTTGTACCTTCTCAGCCAATAAGAGCCAGCCTGAAAGACTCTACAGTAACCGTTGGTGAATGTCTTAGCACACATTTCACCATTTTATAGCGACCTCAGCCAATGAGCATTCTACCATGTACCCTAAATCACACGTGTGGCATTAGCCACTGGACTCTTTCTTGTGTGCTATGCACTCTCGGCACAGTTTTACAATGATTTACAAAAGATGTGCATGTGGTCCCCACACACATGCCACAAAGAAACAAAGGGAAAGAATCATGCAGGATGTCAAAATTGAAGTTTTATGGTGGTTCCCAGAACCCGCCAAAACGTGAGTTTTATGGTGATTCATAACACTTTCAAGGGGAAGGATCAGGAACAGCTGGAAATTGGTAAAAGTTCATAAATATCACTGAGCCCGAGAGGCTCAGTTAACAACTGTATGAATGTGAGTTGCAAGAAATGGTGACCAGAGATATGTCATGACTTGCGTGGATTTCAAAAACCAGAAGCTCAATTGGGAATGGACCCTGCTGAATGCACCTCCAAAGATACATGGCAACCCCAGCATAATTTAAATGACCAGTCACATTTCCCTGAGAGGCATTTGCATTTAAAAGAAGGACTAGCACAGTAAGAGAAGCTGTGAGGGGATTCTCAGAGCAGTGCGTGGGGCATGGGCAAGCAAGAGGGGAAGAGCCTGTATTAGGGAGCTGACAGTGTCTGATAATCCATCTCCTTCCTGCCAGAGTTCCAAGAAGGTGCCCCAGTACTAAACAGGGGAGGACAGGAGACTGTCCAAGGAGACATACTATCAGGCTGGAAAATTCATTAAGTATTTACGTGAGAATTCAGGTTCCCTAGGCCTCAGGGTACGATCACATGGCTCGGAGCACAAGTAGAGCGGGCATGTCAGAACCGAGCCCTGGGGCACTGGCTTCTCTGCCACAGGTAAGGAGACCTGGCACAGGGACGTGGTTGGGGAAGGGTTGCAGGGACGGGTGGAAGGAAGGCAGAGGAGAGTGGAGATGCCAGAGGGTGAGACCACTGGGGTGGGCAGGAGAGAAGAGTGTTCCACTTGCTGAGGGCTTAACTTTTCAAAGAAGGGGAAACACACTCCAGGGAAAGTGGGACATGGGAAGACAGTCACTCATCTGTGGGAGGATGTGACCTCTGGGTGCAGGAAACCCAGGGTCAGCCTCCCCAGGCCTCCCGGCAACGTCAGCATGGAGTGAGCAGAAAAAGGCTGTGGGTGGACCTTGAGGGCATGAAGCTGTGTCTTCCTCCAGGGAGGCTTACAGGGCCAGCTGGGAGGTGGGGTGGGAGTGAGGTGTCTATGGGAGCCTGAAGGGGGCAGGGTCACCTGCCAGAACCTGGGTTCTGTGTGGCTCTCTTGGGCTGCAGAGGGCATAGGTTTTGTTCAGCAGGCCTTCTGTACAGGAGCTGGGGCCGGTTTGAGATACAAGGTGGCTGTAAGGAGGGCTGACACATATCCTGCGTGCCTCCAACTGTCTCCAGTCCACGGTCTTCAGGAATTAGGAATGGGCAGGAGAAGAAGCAATGTCTGCCAGTACCTAGTTGTCAACACTGGCCACCTCCTCTCCTTCCCCCGTCCCATGTCAGCGCATCTCCATGCTTCTGCAGCTGCTGCAGGGACGTCTGCCACGTGGGCCCTGGCAATCCTCCTGCTCCTGGGTGAGTCCTCAAGGAACAACAGGGGCACAAGGGCCTGGGGTATGGGGAAGAGTGGGGGCCAGGGCGTATTTGGGGAGGACATTCAATCCTCGACTCCAAAGACTTCATGGCCTATTTGTGGAGGGGTAGAGAAGAGGGGGCTTTCTCAAAGCTTGGGACACTAAAGGCAGCATAAAAACAGGTCTTGAGACCTCTTGAGACTTTCCTATGGTCAAGAGAGTCCTTTTCTTTCCTTTTGTCTCCAACATTCTCCTTCTCCATTCTTTAATTCTTATCTTGCAGTTCCAAGCACTGGGCAAGCTGGTGAGTCTTAACATCCCTCATCCCAGTTTTCTACAACTTCCACTCCAACCCCCCGAAGTGACTCACATGGGTGCCCCCACTTCTTGGTTGTTCTGGGATAGTGTCTCTTCCTATGCCCCCTCAGTCCTTGTGACTCAGTTTGCCTGTGGGCACTTGGAGATGGGTGTTGACTGAGGGACTGAGAGTCTGTAGCCCAGTGAGGTCTCTCTTCCTGCAGAGATGGGTTAGTAACATGGGCTGGGTCCCAGAAGATGGAGTTTTCTGAGATTTTCCAACCTCCAATCACATCTTTGGGCATCTGACCTTGATTCTCTTTTCCACGTGACCCCCTCCCCTACATCCCAGCTACTCTGGAGAAACCCATATTGTCTCTACACCCACCCTGGACTACAATCTTCAAGGGGGAGCGGGTCACCTTGCAGTGTGATGGGTACCACCCCCTGCTCCTGGAGGTGCGGCCCATCAGCACCCTCTGGTATTTGGGCCACCTACTACTGCCCTCTCACAAGAAGAGCATCGAGGTGCAGACACCAGGGGTGTATCGATGCCAGACACGGGGAGCACCTGTCAGCGACCCCATCCACCTCTCTGTATCCAATGGTGAGTGAGCAGTGGGGAAGGGTCAGGACCTGTCTTCTCTGGACATACTGGCCCTCTGATGGGAGAGGACACCAGGCCTCTCACACTGGGGCAGGAAATGGGGGCTGTCTTAAGTCTTTGGAGCAGGTGGGGGCCTGGGTGGATGGCACTATGTGAAAGATGGCCCCAAAGGTCCCCTTGGCCTCCTGCCCCAGCAGGCAGCAAAGAAACATTTCTGTTTGTTAATGAGACGAGCTCAGAAGAGCAGAGGCACTGAGGATCTGGGATACCAGACAGAGAACTTTGCAGTGGGGCAGGAAGAGAAAGGGCAGGACAAAGCAGGAAAAGTGAGGGTCCCTGGGCAGGCTGCGTGCAGCTGGGGGAATTCCTGCTGCCTGCAGTGTGGTGCTTCTCCGTGTATCCCATCAGCAAAATAGGGTTAATAATAGTATCTATCTCTTTGGTTGTGAAGATTAAAAAACGAGTTACAACATTTTAAAGAAGAAGGCAGCAGTTGAAGGAGGCACTTAATCAAAATGTTATTACAGACAGATACACCTGTGCTCATAGGGGTCAATTAAGAAACTGACTCCCAGGGGATGCCTAAAAGGTTTCAAAACAGGAAAGGAGAAATAATAATTTGTTCATTAGGGCCCAGGATTGGCTTCCTCACAGGAAATATTATGTCACCTTAACCCAGGAGACAGTAATTTGTATTCAGAGTTTAAAGATCACCTCTCACTGTGCAGATGTGCACTTACACAGAGGCCAGGTCCAGACTCTGTGGTTTGTTATTTGAAAATTGACAGTGAGCACAGATAAAATTCTGACCAAGAAGGTGGATACTGCTTGCAGAACTCTTGTTCTTGTTCTTACCGAATTCTTGTTGTTGTTACCGAATTCTTCCTCAGTGAAAAATACCTGAAATGGCATCTAGCACACATTCTGGCTGTGTGTTAGCTTTGATGGGGATGGTAATCAGGTAAACATGGGCTGCTGTAGGAGATGCCTACGGCTGTCCTGGGGGAGAAGCAATGAAGTCTTCTGGAAGGGGTAAGGCCTCAGCCTAGACGTGTAGGACAAATGGGCCACACCTGAAACAGGCAGGTGCAAAGGCTCTGCGCTCAGAGTGGGGCCAGTTCTCCCAGGAGCTCCGTAAGGCTGGCCCAGCCCGTGTTAGGAGTGGAAGGTGGAGAGGGTGAAGGAGACACGGTGCAGGGGAAAAATACTGAGATGTGCTGGAGAGATGAAGGGGCCAGGTCAGGAAGGCCGAGATGACATCCTAAGAAATTTAAACTTGATTCTGATGGGCATTAGTCTTCGAGCCTGGAACCAAGTCTCAGCGTCTTTGTCTTCCTAAGGCCTAATGAAAGATGGGCCTTCCCCTCTCCTGCCCACTGGCCTCCTAAAGCATTAGGTCTGAGGTGCCTGCCGCTCAGTAAAGGGAATAGAGTTGGCAGGGAGGGAAAGAGCAGCTGTGTGGGGGAAGCAGGGCGGTGGAGAATGGGAGACCCCCAGGGCTGGACTTTCTTTGGGGTAAGGCTTGTCTGGGGTGACTGTCATAGACTGGCTGATCCTGCAAGTGCCCTATGCTGCGGTGTTCGAAGGCGAGCCACTGGTCATGCGCTGCCGCGGGTGGTACGACAAGGTCGTCTACAAGCTTCACTACTACCACGATGGTCAGGCGGTGCGCTACTTCCACTCCAGCGCCAACTACACGGTGCCGCAGGCGCGCGCCAGCGATAGCGGGCGCTACCAGTGCTCGGGTACCATGCGCATCCCGGTGGAGAGCGCGCCCATGTTCTCCGCCAAGGTGGCCGTGACCGTGCAAGGTAGGGAACACCTGGGGCCCCGGAGGGAAGCAAGCCAGTGCTGGGAGATTCTGGGACAGGAACCCATTGGGCAAGGAGAGGTTGAGGTTCAAGTGCCTGGCACGTGGCAGATCTGTCAGCTAGCCCACGTCCGCTTTCTCCTCTCCTCCTCCGCAGTGAAGGCACACTTCATCTGTAGCCCGCGTGGCGGCGGGTGTCCCTCCCCATAGACACCCCGGCTTCTTACTCCGGGTGGGGACCCCACGCAGCGGGCAGCTGTATGCACAGGCCCAGGCGGGGTGGCGGCGGCTGGGTTGGGCATGGGCGAGGGGTCGGCTCCTGGGCGGCGCGCGAGGCAGGCCCAAGGAGCCCCTTCTAGCAGGACCCGAA